CAGAATGTTGGAAATGCAAACAGACACAGGGAACATACTACCATATGTGGTGGACCTGTCCATTGGCAAAAAAAAATATTAGACAAAGATAAAAAAAGTGGCTGGAGGAAATGATAAAACAACACATACACAGACTTAAAGCCAGATCTATTTCTATTAGGTATGCAATAGGGAAATATAATAAAAGAACTCAATATTTAATGCTACATGTAATAACAGCACCCTGAATTATATATGCTCAAAATTGGAAAAAATGGAAATATACCCATTTCTAGACAAAATGGTAATAAAGAAAATATTAGATTGCGCCGAGATGGACAGGTTGACAATGGAAATTAAAGACAAAGGAGAAACAGAATACTATATAATTTGAGATGTATGGTATAATTGGTTAGATTAACAGACACAAAGATTAGAAAATTTACGATGAAAGTCGATGAACAAACTAGAAATTAGAAATAAGCCTAAGCACAATGATAAATAGAAGAATATTTACTGTAAACAACATTATGGTAAGATGACATAAAAATGTAAAATCGAATATTTAGAATGATAAATATGTAGAGATTTATGTTAGGAATATGGAAACAATAGTTACGAATATGATACTATATATAAAAAAAGACCTAAATGGTTGCAACTAGGAGGCATAATAGTATGTATATTGTAAAAAAAATGTGGATTCAACCAGTATATTGCTGTTGCGAAGCTGAAACTGTGATGTAAAACAGAAAAAAAAACACCTGTATAATAAAAATATTTTTTTTAAAAATAATAACTGAGGTGCTTCCAGGTTGAGTGTCACTGAAAATGCTTAGAATGGTGGCGTAGAATGTCACATGAATTGTGACTGTACAATTGTGGTTTATGTAGCCACATTGGTTAAACAGACCTTGAGTTAGCTAATGCGCTAGATATATCTGCTCTGTATCTCATGCAAAGTATACATTAACTTGCCGAAGCAGATAATATAGATCTAAGCTGCTGTTATTTTTAAGATAAGCTTTTTAGTGGAAGGGCATTCCCTATTTCCGGAAAACAATTGCTGGCTGATTTTGCCATTGAAAAATTAACTGGTTTCATTTTTTGCAGATATTACCTATGTCGTTTCCATCATAATAATGGGAAAAAAAACACCATTGACCTCTGTCTTTTTAATTTTCTGGGTATTGATCAAACATACAGCAAATGGTTTTGTTAACAGCTCACTGCTATTTCCATCTGTGAAACGGCCTATAAATACTTTAAAACTGTCATATTGTCTGCAGTCAAAATCTTTGCAATGAAGTCCTGGTGTCTCTAAAGATTTATTCCTTATGGTTAGACCCTAAGCCTTCTTCTATGCCACTGCATGCCAGGTAGGTCAAGATCTCAATGGAGAGATTGCAAGGAGCTCAGGAGCTGTACTTAAATAAAGATCATTCCGATATTGGAACTACAGTTTGCTAGGTAGTTTTGACCCAGTCACTTCAAATAAGATCTGGTGGCTCTGAATGAGACGCACATCTATATATACTTTACCCATGTAGTGTGGCTGCAATATTATTATTTGTCTGTCTTATAATCTTTTGTATGCCCCACTTTTATTGGTGGTGTTATTACTATACTGTGTGCTTGCCATGTGCACTGAGAGCTGCCATGTCACAGACAAATTCCTTGTGTGTCTAATCACACTTGGCCAGGTCAAGTAATCAATTCAATTAATGGCCAAAGATTTATCCAGCAAGTGCAGAAATGACTAGGTGAATATCAACTTGTGAAGAAATCCTGGATGTTTCCCCCCTCATCCTCTGATTTTTTAAATCACTCAGTTGGGGAGGGGAGGGTAAGAGCTATGGGTATTTTGGCACTGACTTTACTAAGCATAAGAGATGGTCAACTCGCCTTTCAAAATGCCCGAATGTGCTTGCAATAAAATTGAGCTTTTCTTTGGGGAACCCTGTAGCTCCAGAAATCAATGGTCAGTGGGCCATCCAAAAAGTGGTCCAAGAGGAAAATGATATATTTGTGTGTGGTGTATGCACACACACACACACACACACACACACACACACAGACAGACAGACAGAGACGCAGAGAGAGAGACACATACACAGAGAGACAGAGAGACAAACAGATAGACAGAGAGTGAGAGAGAGAGTGAGTGAGAGAGAAACAGACAGAGTGTGTGTGTATGTTTGTGTGTGTGTGTATGTGTGTGTGTGAGAGAGAGAGAGAGAGGCAGATAGACAGACAGACAGAGACGCAGACACACACACACACAGAGAGAGACAAACAAACAGATATACAGCGAGAGAGAGACAGATAGAGAGAAACAGAGAGAGAGAGAGAGAGTTAGACAGATAGGCAGACAGAGACGCAGAGAGAGAGACACACACAGAGAGAGACAGACAGAGAGAAACAGACAGAGAGAGTGAGAGTGAGAGAGTGAGAGAGAGAGAGAGAGAGAGAGAGAGAAAGTAGAAATTATCAGCCAATTTATGTACTATGTAAAATACATGCAGTGAGATGCTTCTTCAAAATTCTGTCTTTTCCTGGGACAAGCAAAAGGAGCAGGAATCTCTTTCAGAGAGTGAGGAATTTTTTGGAAGTCTAGGGCAATATTAGAGCCACGTTCCTACATTCTCATGGTACGTATTGCAGATTTGGAGAAGGATGGGACTGGTTAATGATAAAACCCATGCAAATAAATAAATTTAATGGGTCCAATGGATTGCTTTTGTGAATGATTTATTATCTACTAAAAGTCATATTGGATTTCCTAACACATAGCTAATATAATTTGTTCTTTTTTTTCTATCCTGTTCCTCCTAATCATTGCGGGACTACATCATTAACCCCACAGGAATGCTAATAAACAAAAAAAATATTTTAAAAGCTTTATTAAGTTCAATTAATTGGTTGTAACAGTTTAATTTTGTCATGCATTGGTAGCCAGTGTATTGTAAGTAATTCTGATGATTTTCATTTCAGTTGCTCAAACAAGTTTGGGTACCAAAGCAAAAAATTGAGTTGTTTTGATAATTACAAAAATCATTGGCTTGTTTGGTGTATTGTGATAAATGGGTTAATTAATCTCCTTTTTTATTGCTTCTAAAGTTATTTTCTTTTTATTTTATTGCAACAGAACAATTATAAATTATCCAGCAGTGAGCACTGATAGATTGAAATCACAAACTTTTTTTTTTCATGGTTGAGAGCAATTCTGTGGGTGCAGAGCAGGTGGAATGGATGAATATTTAGGAAAGATAAAGTCAAGGGCAATAAGCAGTTGACCTAATGGAGTTCCAAATCAATGTACAGATAGTGTTATAGTGTCCTTTTTATGTATTTCTTCCTGCTTCTTCTAGTTTGGTTTACTTTATTGTCCTTACACCTCGTACAACAAAATTAAATGCCATCTTTGGTGTACATCGTACATAGGAAAACTATAAAAAATAAAACA